TGCCCCAACTACAGGCATAATGACCGTACGTTCTATTTGGGGGACGAACGTAGAGAACATATGACAGCCAGATGGCTGCAAGATGGCTGGATGGTACACGAACACATGTGACGTGATGAACAAATGTAAGTAGTTCGTGTCCTGCTGGTCCGTGCTGGATGTAGCATTTCGCTTTTTTTTTTTTTTTTCTCTTAATGTTCAATCATCAAAGATCCAGTCAACAGTCTAATCGATAGTCCAATCGAACGATACAATCACCTATCCAATCAAGGAAGCAACCAACGACACAAGTCTGACTTTAGCAATCACTGAGACCCGAGACGAACAGACGACAATAACTTTATTATTATAATTATTATTACTCTTTTAATTTGCGTCGTCCTTGCGCAGGGGCCATTATAATCTTCTCTGTAGCCTTCCAATTTTAACGCATGTCCTTCAACTTCACGTGGGAGGGGACTGCTACTTTGGGTTGGGGTGGTCAGAGGCGGAGGAAATGGGGCAGAGCGGGGAAGACAGGACGACCACTCACCTCCCTGATTCCTACGTGGGCTCGACCTTTTTTTTTTTTTTTTTTTTTTTTTAATTTGAGGGTCCACATGCTGGACAGCCTGGACGATTTTTCAATTTAAAAAAAAAAAAAAAAAAAAAAAATCGGAAAAATGATGAAGAGCAACTGACCAGGTCTCACGCAACACACACAAAGCACCGACGCCTGTGACGAACTACTTTCCAAACCCGTGCTGTCTTTCGTACCCCTTTTTGCTTGTATCATACCAACTCCATAAAAACGCCGTTTCGTTTTCTTGATTTTGGGTACCGCGGTTTTGGCCCCCATTTTTCGGAAGCTTTTTCGACTCCCGGGTTGCTTTTCCTTTCTGCAATTCGGGAAGTACATAGGAAATTACGTGCGCCTTAGCGAACGCACTGGAAATTGGGCTCGACAGTTGGAAATTCCGGGATAAGCGGAACATCGACATGTCCTTTTCGTGTGTGTGAATGTTCTTGTTCGCGTCGAGGAAAACTCTCGGAATTTTGTGCGAATACGAATAGGCATAGAATTTTCTTTTCCCGCGTTGCTCTTTCACGCGCGGATATGGTGATTTCAATTTTGAATTAGGCTGTAACCGTTTCGGTGCCTTTTTCTCTCTTTTTTGTTGACGGCGCCGCGCGTGCAAAGCTTTCTACTCGTTGTCCCCCGCATCGCTCCCTCCCGCGCTCCTTTCCCGTTCTCCCTCCTCTTTCTCCCGCCTTTTAACTGTTTTCTTTCTCTCTCTCCCTCTCCCGCCTTGCTCTCTGCACGCCCCTTTTTCTTTCTTGATCATTTGAATCTTGGACCCGTCTTGCGCCACTTCTCGCGCCTTTTTCTCGCTTCCCCCTTTGAGTTTGGCGCACGACGCCCGGTCGATCCATCGATAACTCCCGCTCGCCAATCAGGTGCGTGGATCAATAGGACCTTCCTATTGTGCTCGTTGAGCTATTTCGTCGTGTTAGTCGTGCAGCCTGGCGCTGCTGAGGCCTTAGCCTCGATGCTGTTGACGCGTGCGGTGGTGGTGCTCAACAGCTGTTGCTGTTGTTGCTGATGTGTGGCGGCAGCGTGAACAGCGGCTGTTAAGGCTGCAGCATCTTTCTGTTGAGTCTGTCGCAGTTGTCTGCTCTCGTGTATCTGCACAGTTAACATCGTATTAGTCCACATTACCACCCGCATCATGTTCAGCATCAGGTCAGCCAGGTTACTCCTTTCTTCCTCCACCGGTGTCGGATCCGCCTGCGTTCCTGAAGGCACAAAGAGCATGCCTTGGAGTAGTGTCGTCTAGTGACTCTCATTCTGAGTCAAGGACTCCATGCTGATGGCGTTCCGTTTGTCTCGCACTACTGCGTCAGCCTCAACAGTCCGCTGAGCTTGGGTTGCCGCCTCACTGGTCAGCCGTTGACGTTCCGTTTTTGCTGCCTCCTGCGGTGCCTTTGCGGTAGGTATGGCATCCGTAAATGCCTGTACCCGTTGAAGGTTAGCTGACAACGGCTCACTGGCCCCTTGGACCGGACATGAGGGCAGAACCCTTGTGGTGACTGGTACTGCCGTAGCTCTACTTCATACCGCTTGAGTCGTCCGTTTGCTGAGTCGATGTTGCTGATACTTAGGACGTGAAGGTACCACAGAACAACTGCGAACTGCGAGCCTGACACTGAGTCGTGGCAGTGCCCCGGTGTCCTGTTCCGTCGACATCAGCACAAGCTGATGTGGTACTTGTGAAGTCCCGGTGGTCACAGATTACGGGGAGGGTAGGAAGAGTGGGAACAAGGGTAGAACAATCAAACAATTCGAATACAGTCCCTGTCCCGAGGATGGACTTAGATACCTAATCAAACAGAAAAAGATAAACTTTCCCCGGAAACAACTCAAAAATTTGTAATAAGGAAATAATAACGAATTAATAATCAATAATGTTTAATTAATGATTAATAACAAATTAATAATTCTTAATAAGAATTAATAAAACAATAATGTGATATGGATAATTAATGAATTCTTAAGTGATGGCAAGATTAGGTACCTGTTGAGATCCTCTATAGTCCGGGAGTTCAATGTTAAATAGTGAACTTCCCGTAAGTTGCGATTTTGGGGAAACAATTACGGATAATTGGCAAAAAAAAAAAAATTGGAACATTTGGAAGAAAAACACTCGAATTTTCATAAAACGTAAAATTTTGGGAATTTCGACCTACAAAATCCGATTTTTAAAGGCCTAAGTCCGTTTTCGGAATTTTTCACACTAGGGAAAGAAAAAAAAAATTCGCGAAAATTTCGGAGCCCAACCCTAATTTTCTGCGTTTTCGCGGAATTTTCGGTTTTACGGTTTTCGGTTTTCCGCGGAATTTTCGGTTTTACAGTTTCCAAACCGAAATTTGCCGTAACCCTAATTGCCAATACCGAAATACAACGGAAGTTAACTTGTCCATTCCAGAATGTGCATCCCTTTGCAACATACTCGTCGCGCGCGCGAAACATGACGAAGTTGTTCACGGCAACAGACTCGTGCGGTTTGAACTCCAACATGGGAGCGTCTTTTTTGTAACCGACGAAGCAAGGTTTCCTCAGTGGCGAGTCGAGAACATGCGGCGCACGGAATGGGAGATCTTGTTTATCGGGCATGGGGGCTGGCCAGAAGGCACCTTGAAGGGGCACCGTGTCGCTCTCCTCTTGCGATATATTTTCAAACTTCTTGAGATGGTCGGTCCAATAGCTCAAGCGTCTACGTTTCATCGCTTTTGTGTGTTCGTCTTGTGTCTGCCATTGGTTTTGTGTATTCTCCCACGATTTATGAAGAACACGTACCCCCGCCATCCCGTTAACGAAATCGCCTGCCAGTGGATTAGGCGACTCACGACAAGGTTGGAAATCCCATTGAGGCCCTGCCCACCCGTTGTTTGCGTCCCTTACAAACCAATACACAGGGCCAGTGTACGGCTCCCACTTTTTGTCATTGCAGAACTCCTTGTACATCATGGCGGGGTTGTCCCCATCCATGTAAAATCGAAAGAGGTGTGGCGTGGCATGACCCTTGATTTTATGGTCGATGTATGGATTTATGACGGTTTTCCTGTCAGCAATTTCAGTGAGCAATGTGCAATCGACTTCCTCTTCGCAGGACTCTTTGAGGACATCGAAGAGCTTATCCATGGTATACGCATCGCAACCGCTCATCGTTTTTGCAAACAAGTTGAACTTCGCATCTATGTCCGTGTGTGTGTGACCCACTATCATGAACCCCATTTCGACGACCTCGAATATACGAAATTTGACTAGCATGGCCATGAAGGCGAACACATACTTGTTTTTGTTTTGTCCCCCACAGTTGTCGGTCTGCACCCGCAACTTCGGCGGGAGCGCCCCCTCGCGTGCCTGAACATCTCTCAACACTTTGGCGATCGAGGTGACAACCGAGCTCGAGCCGTGCGAAAGGTACGGGAACCACGTGTGGACAATGAGCGATGGTGTCCTACCGTGTGCGATTATCCCAGTAAGATTTGTCTGCATCATCGTGTTATTCGACATTTCTTTTGACAAACGTCTTCTCGATGCGTGGAGTATCGTTGTTTTCGCTTGATCCATTCCATCGATGATGATACACTAACTCTCTTTAGGCCTGAGCTCTGAATCAGCGTACCACACACTGTACTCTTTCCGGTGCGCCGACTCTAGCGCAAGATGACTTTTCTGTTTCGCGACAAGCGCCCTTCTCTGCTCGGGCAAAGCATCCTCTATGAGGATGCTATTCTTAATGCACTTGTTGCATCTCGCATGGTCGGTCACCCTTGCGAGACGAACGTGCTAGAAGAAGTCCCTCCACATCTTGCAGAAGACCTGGTACGACGCGCAACAGACTCCAAGCTTAGAGAGTCGTCTACGAATACTGAGGAAGACGTATTTCTTTGTGGGGAACAACGACGGGAGCCGAATGCGGTTTCTGATCTCGAAGTTCGGGTCTGTCTCAGTCTGATCTGGCATGGGGTCAGACTCGTCCAAGATGATGTCCTCGAACGCAGACCATGTAATGGCGTAGGTCGCCGTTGTCCGCGGACGACCTTCATGGCCATGAACAGCGTCGACGGTTCCGTCATCGAGGTCATCGATGTATCTTTTGTATGTGTTCCTACCGACGCCGAGTATGAGACACCATGCAGTGACGCAGACAGGGTGCAACTGCACTATCGGTTTGACTGTGGGCTTACGGTGAACCAACGAAATAAAATTATGTAGTTTCGCCATCCACCACTTCCGTCTTTCCTGCCCTTTAAGAACACGGTAGTCACGTCTACATTTCATAACGTCCTGCACTCTAAGTTTAGAAAGACAGCGAAACGTCTTGCAACATGTTTTGCGGAGGACGGCCTCGCACTCGTCGACGCTACATCTACGTTCGAAAGTGGAGGTGGATGCCGAAAAACTTCTTTTTCTGAGTCTGTATATGTATTTTCTCTTTCCTTTTCCACCGCACAACATGGACAAGGCAGATATCGCGGTGTCTTCTCCGACAGGCAAGTCGACGTCCGATGAACGAGCAACACGACCCCCCCCCCCTTCACTGCCTTCGCACGACGGCAACGAAAGCATGTCCACCGGAACATAACGATCGTCCGTACGAGTTGCCGGTGGCGAATGACCCCGAAGTGAAGGATCAGGAGACCCACACGCCGGTCCTGCGCCATCATCAGAAGGCAAGACGCCGACGTCGTTGATGATGTCATCAAGACGAAGACGCCTCACGACGTTGACATTGGCAGATGACACAGCCCGGTCTGTGAATTGGCGTTTGGGCATACCAGCAACACGGTGTGCACGATGCCCATGTTTCGATGGTGTAAAGACAATGTCTAGGGACCGGCTCTCGCAGGAGTTCTCAGGAGCATCGGACGCGGGGGTGTGAAAAGACTGCACAGATGGAAGCGAACTGTAGCAACAAATGTCCATCCCGTCCGCCATTGAATCGCTAACATAGATGGGAATGGCCTGTGAGAGGACACAACATAACAAAAAAATCAAGAATAGAAAGACACATGAGAAGGGAAGCCGGTCCCCCCTCACTACCCATCTCAGGAAGTCCAGGCCACTGGTCCGATTCAGAGGGACCTGTGGACCCAGAACGCCGGAACGCGCCAACGAGAGGGAGAGGGGTACAGAGAGAGAGAGCGAGAGAGAGAGAGAGAGCGAGAGAGAGAGAGAGAGAGAGAGAGAGAGAGAGAGAGAGA